ATGTACTATACTCTCATATGTATTGTCTCCACTTCTCTGCTTGTCTGTGTGCGTGTGTGTATATTTGTCTAAGGATGATGATGAGGGGTGTTTGTGGGTGTATATGGATGTGTGCGTGTGTATCCTGGCAGCCATTGCCATTGCCATCGGTTGTCCTTAGGCTTCGTTGCCCGCGCCAGTGGCCAAAACCGCCGTGCTAAGCAATCTGAGCCACGTTCGACGCTGATTTTTGAGAGTTGTTGGCCCACTTAAGAGCCCACCCATACACACACACATATGCCTATATATCCTGTGAGGTGTGTTTGTGTTTGTGAAGAATGCCTGCGCATGTTCACCGTCTTTTTAAAGACACGTGACCAATGGAGTTATCCTCGCCCAAGATAGCCAAGTTTATTAGGGCCTTAAGGAAATTGATAAAATGTGAGTTTGGCTAAGTTAGGTTAAGGAAAAAGGGTTGAAAAGGGTGTTGTGAAGAGGAAAATGGAAGGCTTAACTATCTTTGCTTGTAGCTTAAAGGATTATGCTAAAAAATGTCCTACTTTCTAGATTTGAAAATGATAACTTCTTATTATATAGGCTGGCCCACGGATGTTTTGCATTGTAAAATCGCTAAAAAATATCAATTTTATCCAATCTTCGAGCGTAAACTTAACCTTTTAGTAAACCGCAAACCTTTTACTAAATATCTGACACATTGACAAAGACATTCGAAGTGTCAAATTCAAAATTATCGACAGTTCAAAAAGCAAACGCTAAATGGGCCAGCCTGTAGAAACATCCATCACTTCCTAGAAACCTCGAACCATTGATAATCTCCTTTTGCCCCTTAAACCCTTTTGCACTTTATCAATTATGCAACGCAGACGAACTCTGGCACACTGGAAGGTTGTCTGATTTGGCAGAAAGGACTAGTTGAGAACCTCGGCATTGCTGAGGTGTCCTCTAGAGGTCCTTTTCTGGTTCGGGGGGTTATGATTATGATGATGCCGGGGTTATGCCGCTAGCGGCATGACCAAAAACATCTGCCCCGGTTTCTGTTTCTGTTTCTGTTTCGGTTTTTGGTTACGGTTGCCTGCCCTCTAGAGAAACTGCGTTTTATAGAGTGGGAAAATCGGTTCGCTATTCGCCTGGCTATATGCAAATGAGATGGGCGCGCGCTTATATTTATGAAAAGTAAAATATGATGCGTACAATCAGTTGTGTTCTGTATATATAGATATATATATATATACATATACTGTATATATCCATTGTAAGTGCGGCCAAAAATTGTATGTAGAGCAGAGACTTGAGCCTAAGGAGCTGCAGAAAGGATATGATGGCAAGGAGGCACATGAGCCGCTTTTGGATCAACTCACAACTCGAGACGACGTTATTCCACGCAAACTGCAAACAATAACAATCATGCATAAAATATAAAATATACAACACAACAAAAAAAAACGTGGAAAGGACTTTTAGGGGGGGCCAAAAAAAGGGGAGCAAAAGGTATCCAGAGAGGCAAACAGATTGCCATCGCGCATACGCTGCGTTGCCTGGAAATTGAAAAGTGCTCGCTGATAGACAGAGCCAAGCACCTGCTAACAAACATATAGAAAGATAGCTACAGTGGATATTCTTGAAGGCGATGAGTGCGTGACACGATCAGGATATATTTAGGATTTTTAGGATTTTTTTTTAAAGGAGAAGTTTTAATGTTTTTCTATGATATTTAATCTATAATTTTTGACAAAAAGTTGCCGTTTCCTTTAAACTATCTTTTGGTAACTAACTTATATTTTTTTAAATAATAAATAAAGTAATTACCGAAAGAGTAAGGGAGTTCTCAGATCATCAAACAGACAGGCTTAAAAGTTTCTATGAGAAAGCAATTTTAAGCTATCCCCTTAAGGCCAAAGATGATGTGGCACGAATCCTTTTTTTCTCCAGTCACGAAACCACAACTCACATACTTTCCATCCCTAATCGCTTGTATATATAGTATTATATATATATATATAATATAAATGTATATTTGGCATACGCATACCTACCTTGGCGCTCAAACAAACACTATTATCTGAGGCCATTATGCCCAGATTGATGTGGCATCGAAGGGAGTCTCAGATTGGATACCGACCCCCCCAAAAAAAATATGGGGTTGTATATCCTTTAGGGGGGGGGGAGAAATTATGTAGCATACTGCATGCTTGACTGACCCGATAAGAAGTCGTCTTCGTTTCCGCCCACCCAATCATAATTTTCATAGCCCTGAATTGAACTGCGAACTTCAACCTGGAAAAACAGCCACAAATAACAAGCCGAGTAATAAATGCAAATCAAAATCAAGAAATCGAATCGAGTGAAGGAGAGGAGCATATAGCCTTGAGGGCAATGCAAATCCCGGTTTGCCAAATTAATTAACCAAAGATTTGACCTGTCTCTTCCGACTTTTCAAACTCAAACTCCAGTTTGAACCCAACCCCCTTTTTCAATATTCAAATTATCAAAAAAACCGAGTACTGGGCGTGACAACAGCGCTGTCCCATAACCCGATTCGACCCGATTTCGACCCCCTTTTTTTTGGAATACTATATACAGAGGGTATATAACCTATACCTATATAAATCAAGCTGGAAATTGCGCAGCGCGAGCGGCGACGACCCTCTTCAAAATATTTAATACCGCAAGTGACCCCTGTCCACCATTTCATCAAAGTCCAATCCTCGGGACATTATTGGGGAGGAAGTTAAGGACACGGGCGGCAGTTTTCAAGGGTTAAAACAGATATCTAAGTTATATATATCAAAATATATAACCCCCCTGAAACATCGTTCTACCCGAGCCACTGCATTAAAAATAAGCCGGAAAATCGGGTTGACAACTTTCCCAGATGTCGACCAACAACCAATTTACATACTGTATTTCGTATTTCGCATCTCTGTTTGCCCAGTGACCAGTGGCCATTCCGGCCATTCGAGGCGACGACCTTTTTAGGGCTGGGTGCAAAGGTTACGCGTGCGCTACGTTCGTGCCCAACGAATATATACATCCCCATGGCCAGGACAATATCCACATCCTTATTGTTTACCACAAGATCGGAGTGTTGCAAACCACTCGCCGTGGTTCAAAGCTGTCGGCGCGCCCGAAAAATTTCACAATTTAAGAATGATTTATGGATTAACCATGACCAGTGGTCAGCTGGAAATGATTAATCGATGCCAACAGCTATTTATATGAGAAGGCTAGGCTATATAAACACTTGCTTGAATTATAGGTGAGGGGTTAAGAAATGTTACACAGAGGTTAAAGGTATAAAAAGAACTAGAGCAGTCTGGGTTTCCTGAAAGGGAACTTAGATTTGGAAGTAACTTTTACTTAAAGATGATTTTCAATCCTTAAACCTATATTTTTCCCATTTATTTACTATCAGAAAATCCACTGTTTAACCCACTAGTAATTCCCTTTTCCACACCATAAACCTTAACCAACTTTAAACTTAAATAAAAACTGAAAAAAAATCAGGAAAAACAATCTTAAAGCGATTAAATTACCAAAAGGCCGTGAAATCCTGTAAAGCAGTTGGGTATTTTCCCCTGTTTTGTGTGTTTTTCTTTTTTTTTGTTCCCTTTCCACACCTTGAATGCCAAATGAAAAGCGCGAAAAAAAAGGGAAAACAGATGTGACAAGTGCAAGGCAAAAGTGTAAGCATATACACGTGTATATATGCTATATATATATATATATATAGTGCTGGTGGGTGTAGTCTATATATGACGACCTGGTAGTAACGACCTTTGCACAAAACACACTCTTGCATATCTGAATTTTCTTCTTTTTTCTGCCTTTACTAGGAAATCTACATATATGGGCGACTGAATATTAAAAATATGTAGATTTTTCCATTGTTGATATGGGTAGATATATATATATATATATATATGACCGATTTTCGGGTTAATATCTTTAACAAACTGATTGAAATTTTCCTTCTCATTTCTCAAAGTCATTTCCCAGTTTAACTCGTTTTAATATAATCTTTTTTTTGGGGCCAACATTTCCCTTTGCATGCAACAGTTAGAAGGCTTTATTATGTACCAAAAAAAAAAGAAAAAAAGGAAAGAAAAGAAAATCCTGCTTTTATATAGATGCTTGGCAGGTGCAAAATGCAGCGGCAAGTGCAAATGAGGCAAATTTCAAAGTCAAGTTTACACGCAGCAAATGCTTTTGTGCATCAACGCGCTCCTAGTTTTCCGCTGACTTTTCCGCGTTGCCTTCACGTTTCTCCCTCTGGCTGACGTCCTGGGCCAGGGTTTTTTCACACACCTTACCCCCTCCTGGATTTTCTCCCTTCTTACTTGCAGCAGTTGCGACTGCATAAGGAATGCCACACTTTTGTGTCCACACCATAAGACAAATTTTTAGAGAATTTCATTTAAGTTGAGTTAAATTTTAAACTTGAATTTTGAACTTATTTTTAGAGATTGTAAAAAATAATACTTTCTTGTGGTAAAATCTTATTTAAGGAATATTTTTAAAGAATGTTTTTAAAGTGTTTTTACAAATTTGCAAAACATTTAAAAAAAAAGGGAAAATTAAAAGATTTTTCTTTAAATTTCTTTTTGGTTTTTTCTATGAAATATTTCTGCTGTCTTTTTATCCTTTTCTATAAAATATTTTTACTTTTTTTTTATCCTTTTCTATAAAATATTTTTACTATCTTTTTATCCTGTTATCCTTTAGATTTCCTTTTTGGTTTTTTCTCTGAAATTTTCCTACTATCTTTTCATCCTGTTATCCTTTACATTTCTTTTTTGTTTTTTCTAAGAAATATTCCTACTATCTTTGACACAACTGTGCTAGAAGCGCTTTAATTTTTTTCCTGCAACGACTCTTCTCTGGGGTCCTTTATTACACCTCCTCTGCAGGCGTAAAAATATATATATATATATAAATATGTAAGAAAATGAACTTTATTTAAGAATGAAAAGGAATGCAAAAAAAAAGAGGCGTAAAATAAAAATGCAAGAATTGTTCTAAATCTGCATGGGGGAAAAGTGAAAGTGAGACTCTGGCCAGGAAAGGAGAAAGCACAGATTGCTCAAAAGGTAAATGGAAATACTTTTCAGGTAAATCCGATTATGGAATATTTTCCGAGGAGTGGCATATCTGAGATATGGTACTTCAAAAATATCCTTTGTGCATCCTTTTGCTAGCTACTAAATTGATGTAAAGTTGAAAACTTTCATTTGGCTTTCGTAATTAGTTGGTAGTTGCAAAAAAAAAAAAAAAAAAAAGTCAGAAAAGGATATGAACGTACGTGTATATCCTTTCCACATATGTGTATGTGTTTCAACGTCTGCGCGTGTGCGTTAAACAACAACAAATTCGCACACACACATGCGAGTCCTGCTGCTAAATACATAAACGTCCAGCAGCTGTCTCTTTTTAAGCGAACTGAAGCTCTCTCTTTCCCACACATGTGCGTATTTGTCACGTTTCATACATAAAACGTAGCATACATGTGTTACGTGTTTTTGTTGGGGGGTTGAAATATATGGGCGTGGCCAATGCTTTTTGCCATATGTGTGCGAAAGAGATACCGAATCGAGGTTAAAAAGAGATGGCAAAATAGACGAAAGGCCAGCATTAATGTTGAAATGGCAATTGTAGTCCTTGCGGCAATTGTTTTTAATTTAAATCTGAGAGTTGTTGAAAATAAAACCTAATAAGTCATAGCCAATATGATTTTTAAACTAATTTACTTAACATTTAATAATATTTTTAGCTTAATATACCATTTTTAAAAGCATGTTTAAAGCTTTTTGTTACTTAGTATAGTAAAAAATAAACATAAATATTGTATATTTAAAATTAAATATTAATTTATAAACAATTTTTGTGCGCTCTTTCACCATGGCGCCATCTATTTTATTTCAAAAAGTGCGCCTTAGGAAAAGCTGTTTTGTAGTTCCCATAAAATTCCGCCTGAGGACGCTTTCAACTTAAAAAAAAACAATCAGAAAATGGTCCCACCCAATGCCTATCGTTTTCAATATGGCGCCTATCGAAAAAAGATCTTGAGAAAATCTCGATCGGCCACACTGCTTTTTGTGTTTACTTAACATAACAGTCGGCTGTTATTTTTATACTACGGCACTATGATTGCCACCCCTGGTTTACATTAAAATATTACAATAAATACCTTTATTTAAAATGTAAATTCTTGAAAGGCAGGTGGGTATTTAAATGTTTAAACTATTTACTTAACTTATAGTAACAGAATGCCGTTCTTATTTAGTGAAACTTGTGAAATATGTAATGATTTACTAGATCATGTACGAGTTAATCCCTGAAGAAAACCCGTTTATCGACTGAGAACTGGCGAGAGTGGAGTGAGAAAGGGGAGTAGAACGTGAATGAGGTGGGGAAAGAGGAGAAGCGATAACAAGAACGACGCCGAAAAAAAAAGGTAGTTAACGAGTTGACAAGCCAAAAGCAACAATAACAAGCTGGAAAGAAGAAGAGCTGGAAATTATTGGAAAGAGCGAGCGAGAAAGGGCGAGAACCTGGAACAGGTTACCCCTTCCAGCGTTTCACTAAAGAACACAGAATCTGCATAAAGTTCGAATTCTTCGGGAAGAAAAGTGGGAACCATAAGTGAAGTTAACCCCTAAGATCGGATTCATTGGGAGATAAAAGAAGAAATCTTTTGGGAAGAAATCCCAAAGTGTAGATTTTTTCAAAAAAAAAAAGATTTACTAAATTCTGATTCGGAAATAAATTCATATCCAGTAAAGAAATCAGAAGAAATGATGCTTCCATACATAGTTTATCCACTGGTGATGATCCTCCTCTATCCACGTCTTACCAAAACCTCATCCGGTGGCAATCCCAGCGCAAGTTCCAGTTCCCCGCCAGAAATCCCCACATTCCGACAATGTGAAACCATTCGAATAGAAATGTGCCGTAAGATCGGTTATAATGAGACCTCTATGCCTAATCTGGTGGGCCACGAAATGCAAACGGATGTGGAGTACACCCTGCAGACATTTGCTCCATTGATCGAATACGATTGTAGTTCCCAGTTAAAATTATTTCTGTGCGCCGCCTATGTGCCCATGTGTACGCCCAAGGCACCAGTCCATGCTATAGGTCCCTGTCGGAGTCTCTGTGAATCGGTGAGGATACGTTGTCATCCGGTTTTGCAGGGATTCGGATTCCCATGGCCACCGGCTTTGGATTGTGAGCGGTTTCCGCGGGAGAATAACCACGAAACCATGTGCATGGAGGGACCAGGGGAAATGCATCAGCCGCAGCAGGATCAAGATCTATATGGGTTGCCAGGACAAGGAATGCCTGGTGGCCTGGGCGGTAAAGTACCAATGGATTGCTCAGGATTAGCCAAATCTCATCTGTATGTAAGGCTACCAAGATCGGGACGATGTGCACCGCTTTGTGAGGCTGATATATTATTTACGCCAGCGGAAAAACATCTGGCGGAGATCTGGGTCTCGACATGGGCCTATGCCGCCTTAGGTCTGGCCCTGGTGGCCACCGTTTGTCTTCTGGCCAGCGATGGCAGTCGTTTAGCAAGTGCCAAGTGGTCCAGATTGTTGTCACCTTTGATTTGGTGCCACAACATGGTCACTTTGGGATGGGCAGTGCGTTTCATTGTGGGAAGAACGGGCACAGCATGTGGAACGGATCCCCAAGCTCCCAATGAATCCCTACTCAGCGTGGATGGACTCTCCAATGCATCCTGTGCCAGTGTCTTCCTTATGCGATACTACTTTGGGATGGCTGCTTGCGCTTGGTATGATTTTTTTGGATTTAAAAATTCTATGAAATGACTTCTAATACCGTCTTCGTTTGCTTTTCCAGGTGGGCTGTGCTTTGTTTGGGCTGGCACCGAGACATTCGTCGGCATAGCCCGGATTCCAAGGGTCATGTGGCCATTCCCTCTAATTTTGGAGGCAGTCCAGCGAAAAGGAACAATGTCAAGAACGCCCAGCAGGATCTGACACAAAATAACTTTGTGTGTTTTGTGGCCTGGGGATTGCCGGCCTTTCAAACGGCAGCTGTGATTGTTGCCCGTTTTGTGGATGCAGATGAATTGCTGGGTGAGATTTGTTATATGCCTCCTGTAAAGATTTCGACGAATAACCCAAATCTTATCACCTTTAGGCGCCTGCTTTGTGGGCAACCAGTCGGATAAGGCTCTCCAGATTTTGGTGGCCACGCCTGTCTTTTGCTATTGGATTTTTGGGTCGATGAACCTGATCTCCGGCTATCTGGTACACTGTCGCACCAAGGAGATCTTAAGGAATAGCAATACTCTGAGTTTACAACAGCAACTCCAACAATTGAGTGCTCATAGTAGTTCAGGTATTGGTATATTCCTTTTCATCTATGGACTGGCATGTGCCCTACTCCTTTTGGCAGTCATTTACGAGTTTGCCAACATCGATGTTTGGCTGGGATCGGGTGACACCAATACGCCATTGTGGCCATTTTTAGTGCGCGCCTTTATGGAACTGATGCTGGGCATTTGCTGTTTTGCTTGGGTCTTAGGACCGAGCATTTCCACTCTCTATAAGAGACAAGTTGGCAATGGCAAGATGGTGAAACAGACGACTACAGGAGGAGGAGTTGGAGCTGGAAATCTGGATGGGCATAGTAGCTCACGAGGATCACATGCTGCTTGCAACAGTACGGTTGTCTCGTATCATTCAGTAAGGCCATCAATGGCAAGTGCTCCCTTGCCGCCAAGTCCCTACAAACTGAAGACTTCACCTGGAGCAGGTTCTATATCGCTAAATCAGATGTCCAACTATTCTCTGGGTAGAAGCATGCATCACCAACAGCGCCATTCACCCCATCATCATCATCACCAGCAGCAGCACCATCATCATCATCATCACTCCTCATCCTCGCATCGCCTGTATTATCCACCCGGTAGCTATGCTTCGCAAAAGTATAGCCAGCATGGTAGCTATTATCCACACTTGCAGCACTATGGCGATGAGACGCTGCTCTAGGCGGGATTAAGCCTACATTCAGGGGATGATACGACGACCCCTGCTTCCAGTCAATGTTCCTGCGGCAGCAGCTGTGCCAAAGTCAGTCCTGTACTATAATTTAAAGTGGTGGGGTTAACTAGCTATAAAACGGACTTAGGTTTAGGATATTTTAACTGCTCCTTCCCATAGAACACAATGAAAACCTAACTATGTACTGTGTATATAACCCGGGAAATGTCCTCTTATTTAGTTTAGACCAAAAAAGAAAGGTCATAGGTCATCTAGCCAACCCCCACACATACACACATTGTATTGTAATTGCCCTAGATGGGATCCCATATCCTATTTTCGTGTGTACTTAATGTTGCTCCTAATTAGTTGCCCGTTGCGTTGCCCTTTTGCCGTTTTGGTGTAACCAAATTCAATAATCGCTCTTGCCTTTTACACATTAAGATGTCGCCTGTGCGCTTTATATATATATATATATATATATATAGCTTTGATATATATTAAAACATATTTTTTTTTTCAAAAAGAGAAAGGAACACGCAGCAACCAAATACTGTGATACGCATGTTCATGTCTTCAAAAAATGGCCGAACAGAAAAGTAGGACCTCCCTTGCTGTCTTCTTACTCTGATGCCGAAACAAGTGTACTTAACAAATGAAAAACAATCGCAATTGCAATCCTAGAAGTAATGCCTAATTGTATTCAGTGTGCCATTAGCTTTAAGGACTTTACTGAGCAAGTCAAAAACACAAAATGCCTTGGAGAAATCGTTAAAATTTAAATCGAACTTTATGTGAGTGAAATTGTTAAAGATTTCCTTTAAGTGAAACCATATTTGGGTAGTATAAACCTATTTTTATACAGTAATCCCAATATTATTTCAACTATTTCAATGCCGTAGTCTCTTTCTAAGAACGTAAACCAGAACAAGGCCTTATTTTAACTGTCCAACTACCTAACTCTATAAAAAATAAGAATCTATACGCATCGTATAGATCTTAACTAACAGTATATGTATTTTGTATTGTGTATTTTTTATTAATATATATATGTAACTTATTTGCTAGCGAATAAAGTGTCGAAAAGTTAAGATCTGTATTTTTGATTTCATTTGTTGTGGTTTTTACCATGTAAAAAAGAGTCTCCAGATGTCACCATTACTCCATGAGCTTTGTTTTCCGTCTTAGGCGAAGAAAACCCCACCTGCCGTAAGGGAGGTGAAGACTTTCGCCTATTCACGAGTGGGTGGCAAGGTCGCCTCACTGCGTGTTGGTCCGCACAAGACGATGGTCTCATTCCGGTTCGTTGTGTTGTTGTTGTTCGACAAGGCCTGCGATTGCCAATTGTCAAGGTCCTCGTCACCGCCATTTTCCTTGGCCTTTTGGTAGTTTTCCATTTCGCTGGCATATTTGCTACTGGTGATTCCCAGCAGAGAGGCCAAACCACCGCCCACATAGTCGATACCGGCCAGGAATCGGTTACCCATCCGACTGGCCTTGTATCGGAGGCGTGGTCCTAATGCCATTTCATTCTAGAAAAAAAAAAGGTTCAATGAGTCACGATAATGGTCAGTGGGAGGGAAACATTGTTGATACTAGCTTCTTATCTTAACTGCCCTTGCTTGAATGCTTAACCTAATATATTTTTATGAAATGTATTATTTATTTTAGAAACCCCTAACATGAATTATAGAGCAAATCCTTTAATCATTCCATTAAAAACATATCTAAAAATGAATTAAAACGCAAATTATTTAGCTTCATGTTAAATATTATCAGAAAATAGACCTTGTCCATTAACCCTCACTCGACAATTTCCACACATAACATAGATACCGTTGTAAAAAACGGAAATAGCTTTTAATTCACAACTTCTAGAGGTCATTATCACCAATCCCCAGGAGACATACCTCATTTAAATGCACGCCATAGCACTTGGCCATTTCCGCATCCGCCTCGTCCTCGCTACCCGAGGATAACTCCTCCATTACTCCATCGCTGAAGTACAGCATGCGTTTATTAGACTGCAGTTCAAGGGCTGACACATTGTCCGTTTCGGATGCACTTGCTCCAGATCCCAATCCTGATCCTTCTGCAACTCCGACGACATCCTTGCTTATTCTCATGTTTTCCACTGACATGGCTATATATAAATAGCCGATTAAGTACCGCTTCGACTGATTGACGCTGTGCGAATGTTTTTGCGGTTGAGCTTCGTTTGAATCGCAGCCGCCGTTTTGGTCATGAAAAAAAACGGGTGCGGGTCAACGCCAAAATACAACTACAAATATGGTCGAATGGGGGCCGAAATGTCCTTGGGTTGGGGGCCACCGGCGGCTCACGAGAATCACCGAGAATCGCGTGCCATGGGGCGCTTCACTCAGTCAGGTGCAAATCAAATCAATAAACCAAAAGCCGCTTCCACAACTAAAAAAAACAAAACAAAGGTGCGGTAGTGTGGCCAGCTACTGGGTAACGGCAGGATGCCAATGTTTGGTTGGCAAGGAAATATGTTTTAATATGCATGAAAATGTACATTATTACTTAATTTGAACCTTGCAGTCTCGTTTAAATTGTAAAGAGTTTTCTATCTGTATTCAAATGAGTAAATTAAAAAATAAAACATAAGGCGTATATTATGACAAACGAAGCCAAATTCATCTATTACCTGCGTTAAATAGTCTGCATCTGCTCGGTCACACCGATCAGCTGTTTCTTTGCGTCGTTAATTTGTTTTTTTTTTACAACCAATTGCATCCGATTCTTCCAAATCGGGGATCTGAAAATGGAGTCGCCCACCTCGCACCTGGTGGCCAAAGGTAAGTCGTTTAGTGTTTATATCGAGTACGAATCGAGGTCAACGATTTGGGATTAGATTTCCAGGTGACGGGTGTCTCGCGCAGTGGACGCGTACGCAAAAAGTCATCGAAGCTTTTGGATTTTGAATCGCCGGAAGAGATTGAAAAACGAACAAGGCGGCAAAGTGGAGGAAGGCAGCCATCTAGATACAGCGGACGCGGCAGACCATCAAATGCTTTGCGGGACTTAGATCTCGACCAGGAGATGCTCGTCGATGAGCCCAACATCTCTGATAATGAGGAATTTCATCCAGAAACACCAACTACTGCCGTGGCATCAACAATCCTAAATTCCGATGACGAACTGGACAACTTGGTGCAAGATCTCGTTGATGGCGTTCAGGCTGAGGCCACCAATCAGGAGTCCTCGGTCCGCCAAAGTCTCTATATGCGTGAGAAGGCCAATAAGCGGAAGGTACTCAAGGATGGCAAGGTTGTCAATTCAAAAGCTCAGCGTAAGGACAAAGGCAAGCAACGCTACACTGCCTATAGTCTGTGGGCCAGAGAGGCTCGCAAGAAAGAGCTCCAGGATCTGGGTACGTATTAATTTACTAATTATTGCTAAATAATTTTTAAGCCATGTGCTAAATCTTTCTATACTTATTAATTTCCAATATCCTACAGACTTTACCAGCGCTACTAGACGCCTCAGTGAAATGTGGTCAAATGTCTCCAATCGGGACAAGAATGCCTGGCGGCGCAAGGCCAAGATTCAGGCTTCCAGGGCCAGATCGCGTGACAGAACTGGTCCAAATGGCACAACACAGGTGGCAAGCAATGGCAGCACACCAATAGTAGATACCCCACAACACGAGACAATCTTCCAAAATCGAGCAACAACTAGTCGCACTAGAAAATTAGCTGCTGATCGGCAGCAATCCTCTATAGAAGCTGCGGCGGCCGCAGCAGCGGCGAGTACTTCCTCTCAGAGACGCAGCATTACCACGCGAAGTGGCAGATCTCCAGCCTCAACCAGCACTGCGAAACAGCAATCCTTCGCGGATGGGGATGTAAGCAGCCGCACTGGTGGTCAACAGAAACAAGACGAGCTTACTGGCAAGACTAGCATCGAAGTAATCGATGCAGCGGCACATCTGAAACTTTTGGGCGAAAGCCTGACTGTTATTGGCGAGCGTCTGAAGAAGCACAATGGTTACGTAGCCCTCTCAGGTAGTCTGTCCGTACTCCTGGACAGTTTGCTCTGCGCCATGGGACCGCTGCTCTGCATGACCACGCAGATACCGGGCTTGGAAAACAAAGCTCAGCTAAGTAAAAATCTTGCCGATACACTGGATAATATCGCATACGTTATGCCGGGACTTTAATATAGTACTTCAGTACACTAGAATAACCATATAATATATATTTACATACATATGTATGTAAAACCATACCAGGCAGCTGAGCTTCCAACGGGGTTCGTAAACCGCCATTGGATATATATGTTAATTAAGAATTAGCCGTCAACCAGCAATCCATTAAATATATCTCTAGTTATAAGCAGATCAAGCATCTCGATCCTGAATTAGTTAAACTATCTTTGATACATCTGCCTCTTTCCGAGTTGTTTTTTATTGATTTGGATTGTGATTTAAAACTTTTAAATTTTAGTTAAAATTTACCTATTTTTTCCCCCTTAAAATAAAATAACTATAAATTATTTTTTGTATTTATTCATGGTTAACATATTAAAGAGGGTTGTTTTTCGGCTATTTAAAACAACCCCAAATGTATCTTATAATCCCAAATCTTTTCAAATAGTTGGATCGATACATAGAGTGGACAACCATAAATCTCCTCAATTTAAACTATCGTTATTAACAGTAAAGCTATAACTCTTTTTTTCCCATTTAAACATATATTTTTAAATGTATTTTCAAAAACATAATTCAATAAATTCAAAAGTTCCGTACATATATAGCAAAAATTAACTTAAAAGACAATAATAATGAACGAAATGTAATTAAATTGTTAAATTTACCAATGAGAGTGTTCAATTCTGACCTTTTTTTTAAATTGAATATTTTGGAAATTGTTTAAAAATAAATCCTGAAATGATTCTAGAATATTGCAACTATCGCAATCGATAGGTATCGGCGCGGCCTGTTGCAGTTGTGGGTGACTGTCATCGCTAGTTTAAGCAAGAAACCGCCCGAATTTTTGCCAGATTTCCATTTATCCCGGATAGGACCTTCAAATCCCATCAAGAAATAGACATGTTGAGACCTCAGCCATCAATGCCATTGCCACATCCGCCGGGGAAACGAAAGAAACCCGCTGAATTGCAACTGACGTGCGGATGGCGCGGTTGCCAAGAGATTTGCACTGGCGAATGGAACCTTAATAGCCACATATCCGAGCACCTGGAACAGTATGCCCGAGACCAAGACAATCAAGAGGATCATACCGATCACAAGATCAACCATCAATGCACTTGGAACTCCTGCGACTTCTGTACTGAAAATCTGGTGGAATTCGAACGGCATTCGTATTATCACGGATACTATCTACATCTCCTTCTGCAGGGCAAGCTTGAGTGCGATCTGCATCCAGAAATCCCCGCCTGCACTGCCCCAGCTCGCATTATGGACAAGCTACCCATTCTTAGCCAAAACTTTCACTGCGGTTGGACGGATTGTGAGCGCGAGTTTGTCTCGATTGTAGAGTTCCAAGATCACATTGTCAAACACGCCCTGTTTGAGTATGATATACAGAAGACTCCCGAGGACGAGCGACCCAAGACCATGTGCAACTGGACAATGTGCCACAAGCATATGGGTAACAAGTACCGTCTCATCGAGCACATCAGCACCCATTCGAACAAAAAACTGGTGGCCTGCTTCCACTGCGGCGAGCTGTTCCGCACCAAGACGACTCTCTTCGATCACTTGAGACGACAACCAGAGAATAACAGTGAGTTGTGCAGAGGGATTCTGGTATTCCAAGGACGATTAAACCTTTTTTTTTCTTCTTTTATATTTATTACAATATGTATTTAAACTTCAAGCAATTAACCTAAAGCTGTGGAAAAATATTTCTATTCTTTCCGAGAATCTTCTTTTAAGCAGCTGTTAGTATAATTTGTCTGCGCTAGATGTGTACATATATTTATATGATCTTTAAAAGTCAAACTATATTTATGTTTTTTCCATTCATATGAGAAACGTAGACATTCAGCACACCACCTCCATTTTGTAAGCATTGATTTTTCAAGCGAGACAATAACAGCTTTTGGTAACAATCACCAACTATTAAACCACAATGGTAAACGCATATAGGGGTGAATTATTGGATCAGCTTCTTACATATATTGATTGTTGTAAGCATCCCTCCATAATGTAAATGAAATGCCACCCTCATACCAATATGATTAGTTAGTTTTGAAGAAATTGCTTCTATTCATCTGAACATATTATAGTTTAGATAGCTTTATGTTCTTCCTTTAACTTGTGAACCCATTTATCCACAGCGAATAACTTCCAGTGTGCGCAGTGCTTCAAGTTCTTTGCCACCAAAAAGCTGCTAAAGAGCCATGTAGTACGGCATGTGAATTGCTACAAGTGTACCATGTGCGACATGACCTGCAGCTCGGCCAGCTCGCTGACCACCCACATCCGGTATCGCCACCTCAAGGACAAGCCGTTAAAGTGCAGCGAGTGCGATACACGCTGCGTTCGGGAATCCGATCTAGCCAAGCATGTTCAGATTGTCCACTCGAAGACAATGCATCAGTGCGAGCATCCTGATTGTCATTACTCCGTGCGCACCTACACGCAAATGCGAAGGGTAAGTCACTATCTAAGTTAGCAACTTATTAACGCTGCATCGTTTACAGTTTTATATAGCTTTTAATAAATTCCTTGTATCCCCTTTACAGCACTTCCTGGAGGTGCACGGAAATAATCCTATTCTGTACGCCTGTCACTGCTGCGAACGCTTTTTTAAGAGTGGCAAATCCCTCTCCGCTCACCTGATTAAAAAACACGGCTTTCGACTACCATCGGGTCACAAAAGATTCACCTACCGTGTGGACGAGAATGGATTCTATCGCCTAGAAACGACAAGGATTGAGAGTTTAGAGGTTACGCAGCAAATACTATCCCCGCAGGTGAATATCTCACTGGAGATCGATATGAAACCAGGCACGGGAACCTGTTACGAGATCGTTGATCCCACAAATACTGAATTCGAGCGTATCATCGTTTCGAATAATCCGCACGAGGCACAGCTGATGGGCGAGGTGGTCATCTCGTTACCCAGCTTAACGGAGGAGCTGTGAGGAATGGAGTTGAACGTAACTAACGGCAACTAGCAGCTAAACACTTCTGATCTCGTGTGCTCCTTTAACATTTAAGCATTCGTACTAAAAACCTGCTTAGAAACTAGGAAATTGATCGTCAGGCGTTGTCATAACGCCCAGAAACACAATGCCTATGACAAGATTAATCATAGAATGTAGAATTAAGTCAACTGCTTTAGGGCCTTAGGGTAATATGCTACGATAAGGATAAAATCATTTATAATTGCTTGTATTTCGATCCCGACTGATCAATAATTTTTAATGTTCCCCATAAGTTTTATAAAATATTATTTAGGTTTGTGTCTTGTTTTGTTTTAAATAATTTAGCCATTCATTAACCTTTCAGTTAAAATACACTTTTTTTGTTTGGTCAAGATTTATAAATATTTTTGCCTGTTTCAAAGATTTAGAAGGTTATTCCTAGGTAACTTAATTTCGTTGACCTTATATTCATTTTCTGCTCAAACTTGTCTCCCAAAAATAAGGGTTTTAGAGATTTTAATATTTTACTAGAAACATTTTCGAAAATTAAGCCTTAGACAAGAGTTATATCAAAACTCGACGCTATGTCGTTACCGGAAAAAATGCATTGATTCTGTACAATCATATCCTAAAACACTATTATTATTATAAAATGTATGTGAGTGCCTGTTCATTTGTGTGTTTGTAAGTTGTCGGCATTATCTATCCCGGATCGGGATCCATTTGTCATTTAGTCGTAAGCGATTGACAGTTTCCAGTAGCAACTTTATTTGTTTAATTTGCTTAGCCAATAAATAAACCTAGCCAAGAAGAATTCCGTCTGTTTTTGATCATTAATCGAAGGAAATTATTCGTTTAAAACAAAGGTATAACTTTTACGTTGCCTTTTGGTATGAAATACTTTAAAGTTTAAACTTAGTTGTTTAGCTATAGAAAGATTTTAAGTAAAGGGATATTGAAATATTTAAAATTGATGTTTGTTAATGGAATATCTTATTATAATAAACTTTTTTAGGAGTTTAATTTCTTAAGGCTCTTTTGAACTAATCTGTTTGTCTCTGCTCGTTAAAGACAGTCACATGGTATTATAGTACATGATGGTATTAGCTTTATAAAAGAAGACGACGATAAATCGAATTTTTTAGCTGGTTGAACTTTGTTAAACGAAAAACATTTCTTTTTGGCTTGCTTTTATTCTAGAACACAATTCTAGATTCATTTTTAGCTCAACCCAAGGGTAGATACTCTATTCTGGGTCTATTTCCACACAATTTCTTTGCCATTTGTGAGGTTAGCTTCCTCTGCACTTCAAAAAAATAAACACATTTCTGGTAGTTAGGATTTTTAAAGATTTTTTGTTGTTTAATTCTGGGATGCTTAGACTCGCTCTCAAGTAACGTCGACATATAGGTCTATATGTTTACACCGGAAAAAAAAAAAGAGTAACACAAAACGCGTCGTTCGCAGATTTTTTCCGATTTCGAATTAGATTCCATCCGTTTACTTGGCATGGGTCTGGGCCTTCCTCAGCTGGGTGAGGATGTTGGACATCTCCTCACGCTTCCTCTTGGCACGGATGTGTGTGCCCAAGCGACGCTTGAGGAACTTCAGGGCCCTCTTATCCTTGGACACCTTCAGCAATTCCATGGTGCGCTTCTCATAGGGAGCATGGCCAACCACTTCACGGACCAGATCGCGCATGAACTTGGTGTGACGGGTTTGGATCTGCAAAGTATATTCTTCATGTAAACAAATGCCGGGAAGTATTAGGATAAACAAAACTTACGTTCTTCAAACGAGATCCACGCAGACCCTTGACCTTCTTGTCACCGGTGTACTTAACATTCCTGATCTTGGTGGTCTTGTGGCCCTTGTTAAGACCAATAGCCAGCTCGTAGCGCACTGCCATCTTCACTAAGTATCAAAAAATTTGGTATGTGTTAAAAATATTTCTTTATAAAATCACTTTCCTTCGTTGTTTTATGCTCGAATTGCAAACGTTTGGCTGATTTAGATACTGTAGTTTATCTTTTAATCATATGGTACACAATTTGCACATAAAACAAAAAGATGCTGTTTTATTTCACGGAATAGCACTCTACCTCAGTTGCTGTTAAAAGAAAGAAAGAGCGAAAAAAAGTGGGCAGGAAACAATATGGCAGCTAGCGATGGGCGATAGTCGTGTAATAGTATCGATAGGATACGAAGGAGCTGCCAGATAGCAGAGGGATAACATAAAATTAAATATTAAAATACAAATATTATATATTGACAAATATTTATCCCTCATTTTTATTTAGTATAAACAAATATGTGTATCTATATGTTTAAAAAAATTGTACTACATTTACTGATTTTACGATGAAAAACATTGCCGAAAATCGCAATACTTTTCTGGGTGTTTAGTTATAACTTATTCAATATAATGCGCACAGCTAAAAAAAATCAACTGTTTAGAGCTGTTAACAACTTTACATTTCGATTCATACCAATATCTGGTTTATTTTGGGAAATTCGTATTTTGATAATCTTTCGCATTTGTAAGGGATATGTAAAATATACCATCATATTTTTTTGTGATCAATTTCCAAACATATTTTTCAGGTTTCAATAAAGTTTTATAGGGAATTGAATTACGAGCTTATCATGGTATTTCGCTCTATATTTGGCGGTGTTGTGGGTGAAATACTATTTTTAGGACGAAAACCCGAGATTGATAAATATTTGTTAAGGGGTAACATCATTTTATTTTTTAGTCAAATATTAACAAAAATTATGATTTAATTACTTTGAATGGGAATTTAATAACGAGACCAAATAGTTTTGTCATTTCACATTTAGACATATTTGGAGGTAGGTGTGAATGCAGTTTTACAAGGAATTGAATAACGAGCTCATATGGGCTTTACATTGTGTATAAGTTTTGGCGTAATACCACTGTTGGTGTTAATTCTTTTCTTTGGCGAATAACATTAGAAATATTACTATTATGGTCTTTAGCGGTATAAAACAGATTTTGTTGGGGAATAAAAATAACTTAATTATATCGAAATAAATGGTTACGCATTTACCAGCACTATAATTGCAACTAGGTGGCAGTGCTGCACCTCCAGCTGCCACTTCAGAGTTGCTAGCCAACAATCAATAGCTATCGATATTAAATTATCAACCCTATTCATACATGGGTTGCCATTCAAACCGATGACCAGCTCCACACACGTTTTTCGGCTTTGCGCAAACATTTCGTGAGCAATTTCAATTGAAAAGCGTGTTTTTAAAGTACGCGGCACATGAAACTTGTCCATTTTATAATTGCGAATCGTGACAGGCGGTAGCCACAAATTGCCGGAGTTTCCAAAAGGGATGGCAACACTGCCGCACGCCGGCCATGTTATTGTGATTTGTAAAAGGTGGAACGTAGACACGTGTTTAATTCGTGCAGCTCTCTAACGTTGATAATTCGCCAGCAAATAATCCAAAAAACTAAGAAAAACACGCGAGTGCAACATATATTATAAAAAACATCCACATAGTGAGCAAAATAAGTTACCCAAGCGGTTGTAAGAGGTAAGAAATCGAAGCACGCGGAACATAACCTAGTACAAAAAGTGAGTTGTGTGAGTGTGTGTGTTTGCCAAAACAGAGAGATGAGATGGAAAATGGTGTCATGTTCTGTTCTGCGTGGATTTGTTCCACTGTCTTGAGTTCATTTTGCACACTTCTTTCTCCTCTTTCAATTCCCTCCTCTCATCTTATATTTTTTTAAAGTTTTTGTTCAAGTGTAAGCTTTCTGTCGGTCGCCGCCGCTGTTGTTGTTGTTGTTCCGGCAAAGTGACAGTGGGTGGCAAAGGGAAAAATTTGAAGTTAAAATTGACGATTACACAATGCCATAACACACACACAAACAAAGGAACTGAGCATACTTATGATATCTATGCGTGTGTATGTTTACAGCTTTCACCGTTAATTTTGGGTTTTTTAGATAGAAAGAGAGCGGCAGAAAGGAGCAGCCACTCCCACAAATATATATACACCATATATATATATATATAAGATATAGAGGTATTTCCCCCGATTATACAATCCCCGCCCATTTTTGGCCACCATATGATCGGAAACCACGTTGCCAAGATTATAACAATGTGGACTTTTTCGGCTAGCTGGCAATGTTGTTGCACCTGGCTTGTTGTTGTTTTGATGCTCTCTTTAGCCGCTCTGTCTATCTCCACCGCTCTCTCTGTGTGAGTCTAGCTCTTTCGAAGTTTAACAGGGAATTTAACATTTTTTGGTTGTTGCTTCATCTCCTCGTTTCTCTGCTTCTTCCTCTTCTTTTGGCCGCATGGAAATTCGAGTTTTGAGCAACAACAACATGCAAGTTCAAAGTCAAAAATAACAAATAACAGAAACATAAGAAAAAAACATGCCTAAACATGTTTGTTTGTATGCCAAGACACGCACGCACGCACACTCACACATGAATAGGCTTGTGTAAACAAGCTTACAGTATAAGAAATTAAAATGGAAAAACTGATAAAAACAAAGCGAAGTTTCAATACCCTGCATATCCATTTCCATATTAGGCTTCTTAATTAAAATACGAAAAGTTAATTTTTATTATCTCTTGAAACAACTTCTTTTTGGCGTAAAATTAGGTTAAAATTAAAAATTATAAATCAATCTGATTTTATTGAATATTATAATTTTTATATTCATATACGCAGTTATAAACTTCCTAATAAAATTATAATACTGTATCTAAAGGGTATAATGGAAACTAAAAAAATCCCGTCACCCGGTTTTTTTGTGATTAGGAATTGCCACAGCTGTCTGGCCGATTGCCCTTCCATGGGCATTTTATAGCTCCCCATTTGGCCCCCTACCTCCCTTGCCCAATCACGTCATACACAGAGCGATCTGTCGCTATTTGTTGTTTGGGTGGTTTGATTATTGGGCTTATCATCTGTCCACTGTGCGGCCGAGGACCTTTGGGCCCTAACAATGTGACGAAACTGTCAAAGGGGAATCTTAGTACAGTGGAGTGAAATAGTTGAAAGCAAAAATAAATTTATAAACTATGGAATAAGTAAATTAAAAATTAATATATATTTTGTGGTTATATTTCCTTTTAATCATTAATTAAATCGTCACTAATTGTGCTATTAATGCTGAGCTAAATTACATAAAAATGTTTGAGCCGCATTACTAGCACATTAAAGAACCACTGTGCGGATATGTTGACAATATTTCAATGTGCATTTGAGACGCATTTGGATGGATTTCGAATAACGGTTTTCAGATTTCTTTGTTCTAATGAGCTCGCCACTCTCTTTTGCCTCCGTGTCTCTCTTCCACTGGGACATTTGTTTATGTGTGTTTGTGTGTGAGTGGGTGGAAAGGGGCGCTAAAAAAAACTTTTGCCACCACGCATCCTCTCTCTTTCTGTGGGGTTAATGACGGGGGGAAGAAGGTGAAGAATGGCGGATGGAGCGGAGAATTGGTGCCAAAATACAAATAAAAAAGTCAGAAGAAATAGCAATTAGAAGGCGGGCAAAGTAGTTTCCCTTCTTATATCGAGCAGTCGATATCTCGAATCTCTCGAACAATTTCGCCGGCATTTCGAAACCGAAATAAATCAACAAAAAAAAAAAAACAAACAAAAACAAAAGGCCTCAGACTCCAAAAAAAAAATAAAAATCCCAAACGAATTGATGCCATAAAACGACAAAAAATACAAACGAAATCGGAAGAAAGAAACAACGAACCAGTTTTAAGATCACCCTTGTGAATTAGTGATATCCAATATAGTGTTATATATATTTTAGTGATCAGGTGAAGAATTTCTGGCAAACTGTGGTTTTCGTAACTTTTAGTTTTGTTTTGTAATGATTTCGTAACATTTGTCATAGCCATACGTAAACGTAACGGTTTGTTCTTGGGCTCTCTAATTTTCTTCACCGCTCTTTCTCTCCTTACTTGTTGTTCTTGCGCACGCGCTCTTTGCATGCGATCTTGCTCACACTATTTCGCCCTCTCTCATTCTCTCCTGTTGCGTTTTTCCCTTCCGCGTGGCATTCAAAAATCGTTTTGCACCTCATTCGCTCTTTTTCTCTCTACATTTTTGTTGTTGTCTATATTTACGTATTTATTTGTTGCTATAAATACGCAAAAGTTCAGAAAGGAAAAAGCCAAAATCAAAAACCACACACACACGCATGCATACTTATGCAAACAGGCACATGCACGCGCGTCTCGTGATTCCCAAAAACAATTGAAAACCTAATTTTAGGGTTTTCAAATATTGATGTAAAATCGTTTGTTATTTTAAAACGAAAATGATCATGTGAAGATTGTTACAAGTTAAACATTTCCAAATATAATTATACCTTGAATTTAATATAAATGTTTTAAGTTTTTGTTCCAGTTTATCTACACTCATTTAAATTCAAATCAATTCATTCAGTACTTTACGTTATTTAACAGAAATACAAATTTGTGTACTTTTTCTTATCTTTTGTCATGACAAGCATTTTGAATATATTATTATATACGACGCTTCTTGACTTGTAAATTGTTGCATTGATAAGATAAATATTGACTGATTGTAAATTTAAAAAATCAGACCCATTCCCCTTATAGATTTAAATATTTGATATATGAAAATATTTTTAAAACGGAAACCTACTAATATATATTAAGCAACTAAAATCAATTTCAATTTTTGTTTGGGAACTTTTTCACAGTGGTTCTTGGGTTTATATCATTAGTATCTTGGAACAGAGTCTTATCAGTTCTTTAAAATTAGGACAAAAAAACAAAAACTAACTAAAGCCTATATAATTTTTCAGATCCTTCAATATTCAGCGAAAATGGTATCCGGTCGTCCTCTACTCTACCTCTCACTGCCCGGTGTAGCATTTATACTCGGCGTTTTTTGGTTTCGGCGTAGAAATAAAAATCGTTTAGACAAGCCCGATGATGATGACACATCGACCATTAAGGACTCGTCGATTGAACCAAATGTGCAGGCGCGCAAGGCCAATGGTGTCCTGCAGAATGGTAAATTGCCACAGCAAGCGGCCAGTAAGTCGATGAACATCAATGGTACAGTGGCCAATGGAAATGGAAGTGGCAGCAATAGCGGCAGTTGCAGTGACGAGAAGGATAGTCCCACTACCATGTTATATGGTAAATCCGCGCCCATTAAAATTCAAAGCAATGGGCGCTCAACAAATGGCAAGCATCAGCAGCAGATTGATTCCGAAATGCTTAAGTCAAAAATTCAAGATGCCGAGCATAAGAAACTCTGCTCCATAGATGAAGATTTCGAAAATCTATCATCGCCACGTGATCTACCAGATTCGGTAACTACACGTGTGTCCTTTTACAATCGTAAAACCAGCCAAAAGACGGTGGAACCGGTGGTGATTAAGGCCACACGTACACCCAAGATATCGCCAGAGAACTCGTTCTTGGACACCAACTACACTACCAAGGAATGCGAGCAGAACAATAACTGTGAGCCCAAGGAGAATGAAAAAGAGAAGGTTGCCAATAAGGAGCCTTCCGTTAGAGAGTCCAATGAGGAGCAGGATCCAGAGCAGACGGTGCTGAAGGAGAATGTGGTGGATAATAATGGCAACCAGAAGCGCAATGTGGATGCAGCCAGTCCATCGCTTAGCATTTGCAGTGTTCAATCGGGCGATTCCGGCAAAGGATCCAGCTTGCCACGCTCGGAGGCTACACGCGTAAAGTCCAGCTATGAGTTCCTTTTTCCCATCAGTCTTATTTGTCACTTGTACGGACGCAAAAGGGCTTTTATTAACCAAATCAAAGCTAAAACTCTGGCCAGCGTTACTCTAAGCAAGAATCCCTATTTGGGCAAGGTGCGCATTTGTACCATTGAGGGAACAGAGAGCGAAATTGATGCTGCACTGGCCATGATCCGTCAACGTTTGCCGGCCAAGCGGTATCCCAACTTTACCATGCAACGCATCCACTTTGCGCTTCCCCAGACCATAGTTCCTCTTTCGACCGAAAGCATCTACAATCTACAAGTGAGTGATGGTGTGACGATGACAATGGTAACGATGCCGCCGACACGACATGGTTATAGCCGATTAGCTAGCCTAATTAGCTGATTTGATTTGATGATTGTTATGGTAGTATTCCTCCCGTTGAATACGCAGAGAGCAATTTTTGTATTTCTCTAAGTGGTCAGACACTGTTCCTGTCGTGTCGGCGCAATCGAAAAGTTTTGATCGAGTTTCGAGTCCCCATCCAACTTATATCTTTAATGACTTGGCTAACTCCTCCTCCGCAGCTGAAACTGATTGAGGGCATCAACAACGATGTGGTCGTGAGTGCGGTGCTATCTGGGTCGCATCTGTTCATCCAGCACCCATTGCATCCCTCGCATCCATCGCTGCCCATGCTGCAGAAGCAGCTGTACGATAGCTACTCCACCATGGAGGCTCCCCTGCTGCCCAGCATGGAGATCAGTGCCGTGTGCGTGATACCAATCAATGGTGTCTGGTATCGTGTCCAGATCGTTGACACGGATCCCGATGATGAAGAACGTTGCTTGGTCAAGTTCCTTGACTTTGGTGGCTTCATGAATGTCGGTTTTAGCACACTGCGTCAGATTCGCACCGATTTCATGAGTGTGCCCTTCCAGGCCACTGAATGCATCCTGTCCAACATTGAGCCCATCGGTGAGTGTTGGTATATATAACCAATGTTTGTGATATTTACTATGTTTTCATTTTCTTTTTTGGCAGATGAGACTTGGTCCATCGAAGCGGCCGAAATCCTCAACCAACTTACCAAAGGCATTGTCTTGCAAGCACAAGTCGCCGGCTACAATAGTCACAACATACCAGAAATCTATTTATTCGCTTCTCTAGGTCCCAATGTGAGTATTGACCATAGATTAGAGAGAGATAGAATGATTGTAAAGAGGGAGATAGCTTGGGACAGCACGTGACATAATGGCAAAGCTGTTATATTATGATAATGTTAATGATGATAATATTTTAGAGTAGTATTTTCTTAGATTTAGGTTAACCAAGGCATTTATTTTGTTTTAAATTTAACAAGTAAATTCTTTGAATATGTAATAACTTTAGTAACTTTTTAAAAACAAAGGTATAAGTGCTTAAGTGATATTGTTTTATTTTTAGCAAATCCCAATCAAAAAACCTGTATCTTGCTAAAACAAAACAACGACCATGCGTCTGTTTTTAAAGAGTTAACCAATCACCTTTGGATAGAACGTTTCTAACTCTTGTTTTTAATTGCAGAATATAATCTTTATCAATAAGGAACTGGTCGCCAGAAACCTCGCAAAATGGGTTGAGATGCGTGACTAACAACAGCCTTTGTGAACAACTCAACTAGTAACCAAGAACTAAATGAAAACTAAAAGCAAACTTAAACAACAATCACTCAAACCCAAAATCAAGCAACTTGGCAGTGCAACAAAGGAATGCTTGAGTCTTGTGCAACAGGCCAGGCTCTCCAACAAAGAGGCGGCGAATTCGTGACACGGATTGTGGATCCAGCTTTTTGCCGTTAGCATGTAGCACATATAGCATATAGCAGCAAATGGCAGATTCCAAAACAGAACTGCCAAATGCAGAGGCCCCAAAACAAAAAAACAACAACAACAACAACAAGTTCGTTAAGTTGTAGAATGCGACTGAGTCTAGAGAAAGAGCCCCTTAATCATTACATAACATACAACAAAAAGAACAACAACACAGACACACACACATAAACACACACACACACGCATATATGAGTAAGAGCATCGCACCACCTAACACCTCACTAACCCAAAAGAAAAAAAAACAAATATGCAAACACACACACACACACACGCATTACACAACAAGGCAAACGTTTGTTTGTTGACTGCCCAGGATTGGATACCAAAATGGGGGTAAGAGATCAGCTAGGTTATGATTTGTGACCACCACATGGCACCAAATGGGCGGGCGGGCATCCTGCGGATCGGCTAGAACCGTCGGATTTGAGAACAACGAACCGCTTAAGATATTACCATACTCAGTTTATAAGTAGGCATTACTACCTAGTGTAAATAGTTTTTATAAATTTAACAAAAATGCAAAAAAACAAAAATACACTAAATAAACTTAACTAAAATATCAAGCGTTCATCAGATTTAAAGAAAAAAAAAGAACAAAATACAAAAAAAAAAAAAAAAAAAAATAATGAAATTCAATTATCTCTTTGAGAAAAGAGAGAAAGAAAAGGAAAACCTGATATAATTTTAATTTTATGTTGCTATTTGCTGAGATCTGTAAATATTATAATAGGCCTTTTGAAAAATCTGATAATATCTGAGCGATCATTTTTATTCATATTTACATGCATTATAATATCTTTTATTTAATTTTGTATTCATACTGAAACTACTCAAACCGCGAAAAGTACAATATTACTTGGAAAAGCTGAAAGTTTAGAAAGGATATGAAGGAGTTAGAGAAGAAAGGAAATTATAAGAGAGAAACAACCCCTCACCTCACACCCTCAACACCCGCACTAAAGCCGCAGAATGCCTAACAAATATAGAAAAACAAAAAACCATTTAAATAAAAACAAAAGCAGACAAACTAAAGTTACGAATTCTAAATATCTATATATGCGTGTGTGCCATTGTTAGTCAACAAACAAACATAAAACAAACAAGAGAAAGAAAAAACCAGAAAAACCTATAAAGCTAAAACAAATGGATACTACTTCTTCCCAAAAAAAAAAACCCATTGTAAATAAAATCCATTTTGGCAGACAAAGAAATGCAAACAAACAAAAAAAAAAAAAAAAAACAGCAAAGAAAAACAATAATTGTTGCTACCAAAACTAGCCTATTGAAAAAAGGAGTGAAAACCTCAAAATGCCTTTCTTTCAAAATTCTTTTGTATAAGAACAAGAACATAGCTCTAACTCTCTGAAAATTATGATAAAATGAAGAAAAGCCAGGGAAATTGTTGCAAAAAACTAATCCGCTTACAGTTAGAGTTACCAATTCTGGGTGTCTAGCCTAACAGCAATTTGTAGGTAGAATAGTTCAAAGAGCAGCACAACAGCCACAACAACACCACACCACATCCATAACACACTAACCAATCAACCAACCAACCAATCAACCAACCAACCAACCAACCATGTTAACCATATTTATTTTGTTGAGAAGAAAAAGTGTTTTATTTTAAATGTATTTCACATTGAGAATAGAGATTGGCAGCAAAGGAAACATTTATAAAAACCAATTCAAGATAAATCATAATTCAGCTTTTGATAGTCGTCGTCATTGTTCTCATTGTCGTCATCGTCATAAATAAATAAATAATTTAGTTAATATAACGTACAAGTGATGATCCACACATATATATATATATATATATATATATATATCTAATTTGTCAAAATGAAAGACTTGGCGTGTTATTCTTCTTCTACTATAGTTTACTATTATAGCTATCATTATATTATTATTATCTTTTTTTTTTTTGCTTTTTTGTTTTTAGAACTTGCGTGTAATTAATTTACAATTTACTTGATAATTAAAAGTAATTCACTATTATTGTTATCTTAAAACATTATTAACTTGATCACCATTTGGAGGGGCCAAGGAGGTTTTTGGCGAAGTGTTGGTGGGGGGGAGGTCTTAAGCACCCCCGCCCAGCAATCACTTTGCCCCCTCCCGCTGCCTTCCACACTGTAGTGCAAATTCGTTTAATGGATCCTTGTTTTTAGTGTCGCCTTTTGAAAGTTCTATTGAAAGAGAAAAACTATATTTTTTAGATTTATGAGAATATCTTAATTATAATTGGTTAATTTTAATCGAAAGTTGTAATTTCAATTTGTATTCACCAGAGTTGTCAACGTTCTCCGGTTTTTATCGAATTCATTGTAGATCTGTCACTTGTACAATTGTTGATAAACTGATTAACTGATAACTGATTAACTGACATATAGAGATAATGCAAACACAACAGACATGATGTAGAGCACATATTGAAACTAATCTTAGTCGATAGCGAGAGAGAAAAGAGAAGAAGAGTCGTCCTCCCTTGAAGATCATCGTATATGTGTGGTACTTCTATTTTTTTTCTTATCTAGTAATGCTGAGAGACAAGAGTTACGAATAAGATTTAATTTATAGACGCATTAAAGTGAGAATAATTTACAAATCTAGTTATTAACTAAATATAATGCAAGTACATTAAAATAAAACATTATTGAAAAAGGACTTAAATTATGAATTTTATTCTATTGGTGGGGGAGGGGGGCCTTCGAAATGGCATATGGCTGTAATGTTATACCTTTTTTTTACCATTCAATGCTTAAAGTACAATCTAATTTTATGATTTATGTACTTACCCGAAACAGTGTCAAGGGTTCTTATCCAAAAGTCGGATTGGCGGTGGTATGGCACGATAAGGAAGTTGAAGTCATCGTCCTAGTACGATATGGTTTGCGATCCCCCAATAATAGCCGATTTCCAATTCTTCGAAGTCCCAATTCCCATGATTCAATGCAATTGATCAAAAGGAACTTGCCATTGCCGCATTATTAGTTTGTCGATCGATAAACAATGATACTTTGGATATTAAACGATTGTGGGACGACGATATCGATTGAGTCTTCTGCGTCAGAGTTCTTAACGATCAAAGATTTGCTTTAACTTTCAAACTGGCCAGGTCCGGTATTCGTATCGTAAAACTTTAATTGACCAAAGACTGGAACTCTACCGAATCTATATTAGTGTGTTACCTTTTAATTACCCTTGCGATTATCGATTCCTAATTGGTTTTGTCTGCAGTTTTGTTTCTTGTTTCTTGTTTGGTCATTTCGAGGTGATTTCTTCGTTGGCCTAATCTATATCGAAAATGTCCAGTCACGGCCGGTTCGGATAAGTTCGTAAAGTGGTTTTACTGTGTCTGGGTCTACAGGTCCGTCTATCGTTAGGTATTTACTACTTACTGCTGACCGTTTAGCCTGCCGTTTTTTAAAATTTTTTTTATCGTAGTCAAGTGTTTTCATTCTTAGCGCCGCAGAGTGAGGACTCCCTACGATGTCCCCACTTTATTTCAGGTGATAAATTCATGTATCCACTTGGGGTTTATCTAGATCTCTCTATATATAGGGATGGTATCTGCTTGCTTATCAGCAATCTTTCAGAGTTAATCAGAAGAAAAACACTGGCTAGGGGTTTCCTTATAATGAAAAAGAAAGAAAAAGGCTTAATCTACGGTAAAATTTTATCACCCACTAGCTTGTTAAATTACAAAATGGAAACCTGGAATTCCCATGTTATCTCACTGGTAAGGTGCACTAAAAGTTAATTAAGAAATGGAAAACATTTACCTAATGACTTTTTACTTCCAGGATGGCAGAACTTAGATTAGCAGATGTTAAGATTGTGGACTCGTAATGGTAAGTATTTTTAGTACTTAAATGATTCAAAATTCTTACTTAGAAAATCTTAAATTTAGTGTGTTTTTCTTGTTAATTCCTTTTTATAAAGTCCAGACTGTTGTTGATTTGAATACCACAAATATTTTCACATTCCGTACGGATTTCTTCTGGCTTTGGTTGGGCAACACTTCCTTATCCGTGAATTGGAAGCCCCGATATTCGCGATCTTTACGATTCGCCTAGCAAACGTCGAACGAAGAGCTCACACGAGAGCACGACACCAAAGTTTTTCCCCTATATTCTTCAAGTACATATTACCTGGTTTAGGTACTGCCGCAGGTTTTCTCTATCCGTGTACACGTTTATATGTGTGTGAATAATTTCACGCTTATTACCTGTTGAGCACTGGCAAAACGCTGCTTGACTTTGGCGGTTCTTAAAGCGGCCAGCACTCGTAATATTCTCAGTTCCAGCCGCGGCATTCACGGCACCACAACCGCGCTTCCAGCAACGTAAAAAGCCCCCTCCCCCCCACCAAAAAAAAAAAAATAACCGCCATCACTTCAAAACTGCATTTGGAGTTATCAACCAACCATAACCAAGGGCTTGCAAATGCAATGTGCTAATTAAAAAAATATATAAAATTTAAAAGGAAAACGCAAATAACCGCCAACGGTGTTTTTTTTTTATTCATAAAACGAGAAAGATTTTAATTTAAAACTGGAAACAAAAATGGAATTGAAAGGCGTTCAGCCGTCGAATGGCACAGCAGCAGCAGCAAATGGGACCGCCAATGGATCTGCGGAAGTAAGTGTTAAAAAAAAGAAGAAAGAAAAAACAAATCAAGGAACTTATAATATCCCTAATGGAAGTGCTTTCAAGTGCCACTCGAAAATTCAAGTGGCTTTAGTATCAGATTAGAAACAGTCAGTCCAACAGTAACAGTCAGTATATTAAGTATACGCCCAATCGTACAAAAGAAATACCCAAAAATTAAGTACTTAAGTATAAAGCTGGAGAAAAAAAACCCCTTCATAAAATTAATATAGTTCCTATGGACTTTTGGCCCACAATTATGCTTTTGATTAGCCCTTAGTCATATCTAACCATCCTTTCATTTTGCTCAGTGCATGGCCTTTACAATCGCTCAATGACTTTATGTTTATTGTGATCATTAAGGCAGTTAGACTTTAATTGCTGGCTAATCGACCGACAAACGAAAATGCGATTTACGGTCCACCCCAAAAAAGAGGTAAAAGACTTTGTGTCAGGCGGATATACTATACTATATACTATATGCATATCTTATACACTTTACGATCCCCAAAACGCCACATAAATATCTTAGTACGACGTCTTTCTGTTCTATTTAGAGCTCAATAATGCCCTAAAACCGTTAGTTATCTGGGCAACTAGCGCTCCGCTTTAGATCAGCAAAAAATATACTATATATAGTGCTATATGGCCGAAGAGCTGGAAACTCGTTTTCACTGCAATACCCATAAACTGACGTACTAATAATATAAATGAGTGCTTTACGAAGTGACAGGTTCGTTTCGCCTCTCACTCTATTATATATTTCAAATACAATTTCCCAGAAATTGTTAAGCCTCTATAAAGTGATATATTGGTTCTAATAAACCACATCCAAAGTTAGTACTTACATATTTTTTATTTTGGATTCCGTCACTTAATACTGTGTCTTTACAAGATTTGAAATGTATTCATAGCTAGAGATATAATGAATCACTTTTATAATACATTTAAAGTTTAGAAATACAAAAAAAAACTAGAAGTAAACTACGGTATTCCCCCTGCAGCAGAGTCATCTTCTTCCCTTCATTGCATGCAAAATGCAGATCATTAGAGATACTTTTTATAGATCTAGTTGGATTTAAATAGCTGGTTTTTCCCTACAGGGAAGTCCCTCACAAACTGGCATTGAAAGCTAAGCAAAACAAAGTGGCATTATATTGCGGTCAGCATAAGTTAAATTTATGGCTAATACAATTAATGGTAATTCCCATGATAGAATTTCCCAGAGATCAGATGAAAAAACCCTCCAATTATGTCTTAGCTAAATTAAACCTTGATTAAACACACTTTCTATCTACATTATTCAAAGATATCTTTTGCTAAGCATTCGATGGTTATAAGAAGATTGTAACAGCTTTAGTGTTTGAGATAAAAATGGATAAATAAACAGTTGGGCTTCGGCGTTTCCATAGATACCACATTTGTAGCCAAGTTCTGATGATGCAGTTTCGTTTTCATTTACCTCCGTAATTGCCCTGGCTCGACCGCCCCGCGTCCAGCTGAGGTATTGTTTTATTTAAACAGCTTTTTTTTTTTTTTTTTTTTTTTTGTCGAATAGTACAAATATGTAAGCGGCAAAACAGTTTTCGCGTTCCCAGCGTTCTGATAAAAAAAAAAATGAAAATGGAAAAAAACAATGGCCAAACTGCTGCTGGCGTGCAAATAGATGAGGGCTGGAAATAGATTTCAGCGTATGGCAATCATATTATTACAAATAATCATAGTAATATTCAATTTTAATAATATTTGTAAGGCTTTATCACGTTATAGGAATCTTTAAAAACACTTTGCCTTGTTACTTTTTAATTTTAAGATTTTTAAAACATAAACAAAATCGAATTTTCAAAGGTTTTTATTTACAAAATTTTATAGCTTTGTGTTTACACTTGTACATAAATATTTGAATTTATTTTGACATGCCTCATTTCTAATTAACAGATGTTTGTTTTTTTTTTATTTAAAACTAATTGGTTTTTCCATTTGTCGAAAATTAAAATACGATTGTGACTCAGTCATTAACAAGACTTTAAGTGTGCAATTAATGCTTGAGTTTTTCCCGACTAAACTTTATGTAAAATAATATAATAAAATATATGACTGAATGGAAGCTCTATTAAGCATTTTGTTGGGAAATTATTTTTGCAGTTGCGCGCATTAAGAATATTCTGTTTCCCATTAATCGAGTGGGCGTAGTTGCAACTTAATTTGTAATTGGTATTAATAGAATTTAAGTGAGATAATCACCGTTAAATGCCTGTATGACTGTTCTAAGTGCATTTAGAGGCGGCTTGGGGGAAATTATAATAATTTAAAATTAGTTTTTATGATTCATAGAGCTACAAGGGGGGTACACTTACAAGTAAATCATAAACTAATAAAGAACTGAATTAAATAACTAATGATTTGAAATAATAGATCAAATTTTATGATACCCTAATAACACTTAATCGATAATTTGGGCGCCTTTCTTAAGTGTCTACTTCAAAGTGATTCTAATCTAATCATAATTGGGCGTACTAAGATAAATGTACCATAATTGGGTATTTATATGCACTATCAGGTGAAGTCTGGTGGCGCATTAAATTCACATGTCCATGGGTTATCTGGCATTGGATCTGGAAATGCCGCACGCATGACGCGTTACTGTTTGGCCAAGAGTCCAAAACAGCTCGTGGCTTGATGGATGCTCAAATATTTAGTCATGTGTCTGGAATTTTATGTCGAGATACTAAATCTTGTATTCCCCGAATTGCGATATCTTATGGCAAATATTTATTTAAGAAATTGGCAATTATATTATTTCTTTTCAGAAAACAGATGCCGAGAATCAGGCAGTGGAGCGTACCAATTGGGGCAATGGTCTCGAGTTCCTTATGTCCTGCATCTCGGTGTCCGTGGGATTGGGAAATGTCTGGAGGTTTCCATTCACTGCCTATGAGAATGGAGGAGGCGCCTTTCTGATACCCTATATCATAGTTCTGTTTTTGATTGGTAAGTAATAAAGTTAAAAATTCTGTATTTTCTATAATTTTCCCTTTGTTTTTTTGTAGGAAAACCCATGTACTATTTGGAAATGATCATTGGACAGTTTACGAGTCAAGGCACGGTGAAGATCTGGTCGGTAGTGCCGGGTTTCGTGGGTGTAGGTTACGGCCAGGCCTTTGGCACCATCTGCATTATCTCGTATTACTCATCGTTGCTGGCCTTAACCCTTTACTATCTCTTCGTGTCGTTCCAATCGGAACTGCCATGGTCATATTGTCGCGATGAGTGGACCAACTGTGTGAACTCGAGACCGCAGGACTACACGGAAAACCTACTAACCGGCATGTCCTGGGCCAATCAAACGGCTAGAAATGTCAGTGTTTTAGCCGACAATGATACAGTGAAACTTCAAAGTAGCTCTGAACTCTACTTCCTGTAAGTAAATCAAATATTTTAGTTTAAATACAAATATAATTTACAAGAAGTTAAGATTCAATTTGAAATCTTTTGTATTCATATTGATCAAAATTAAATATTATCTAGAAAACTAACAAGATATGAGGTATTTGGATTTCCTTGAATCCCCTAAGAGTTAGCTTTTGTTATTATCACATTTTTGATTTACATTTCTGTGATGCAAAATAATAAATAGCTGCTCGGCGTTGTTATTATTTGTTCGGTTTTGTTTTTTGATGTTAAGGCGCTAAATGCAGTTATTACACGAGAATTGAGCTTATAAATTTAACACTTTTAGTTGGCTAAAATGAGTAATTCAAGTAGTGTATCATTTAACGTTTCTGCTTGAAAGGTTAAATACTAAATAAATTAAATTAACATTATCTGATATGATCATTGTTCTTATAACAAACTGCTGATAGTTTGCCAGTTTTATAAGAAACTTAAATTCCAGTTTTTGCAATTAATAAAGTAATCAAAGAAATAATTATTATACGAGCTGATTAAAAATTACTATTTTTAGTTGATAAGATAAAGATGTTTCTGGGAAAAAAGTTAAATACACAATAAATTTGTAGTATATTTAAACTTTAGGATTGTACCTTTATGGTTTCTTTGGCTAACAATAATATTTGAGTTTATAGTTTATTTTTTTATAATGGTTGTAATATTTTATATAATAATTGTTAACGTTTATTAACCCTTTTTGTATTCTCTTCAGGGATGTAGTGATCAAGGAGAAGCTAGACATCTCGGACGGCGTTGGAAATCCTGACTGGAAGTTGACTATTGCCTTGTTTGTTTCCTGGGTTGTGATCTTCCTGGTGATCATGCGTGGTGTGAAGAGTTCTGGCAAGGCTGCATATTTCCTGGCTCTGTTTCCCTATGTGGTTCTCTTTGTTCTTCTGATAAGAGCGGTCACCTTGGAAGGAGCACGCGATGGTATTCTCTTCTTTTTGGAGCCCCAGTGGGGTGAACTCTTGAACCCAACCGTTTGGAAGGAAGCGGTGGTGCAGTGCTTCTTCTCCCTAGCCGTTGGTTCTGGACCAATCATCATGTTCGCCTCTTATAATCGATTTGATCATGGAATCTACAGGGATGCCATGATAGTGACCACACTAGACACATTGACTAGTCTACTGGGTGGTATAACTATCTTTGCGATATTGGGCAATCTGGCGCATAATTTGCAAATCGAAAATATCCGAGATGTGGTGCGAAGTGGCACAGGATTGGCCTTTATTTCATATCCGGATGCCATATCAAAGTTCCAGGCAGTTCCACAACTCTTCTCGGTTCTATTCTTCTTTATGTTGTTCGTCTTGGGAATTGGATCCATTGTGGCCTTGCAAAGCACTATTGTGACCATCATTTGCGACCAGTTCAAGGATTGGAAGTACTGGAAGGTGGCTCTGACCACATCTGTGTGCGGTTTCCTTATGGGTTTGGTTTATGTAACGCCGGTAAGTTGAGAGGAAATATGTCAGTTTTTTTATTCATAATAATCCAATTATTTATTTTTGTACAGGGAGGTCAGTGGATTCTCACTTTGGTAGATTTCTATGGCGGAACCTATGTGGTCTTTATTTTGGCCATTTTTGAATTGGCTGGAATAGTGTGGGTTTATGGTTAGTGCGATGTAAACAGCCGAATAACTTTTGCATCTTATTAACCATGATGATCATTGCAGGTCTACAAAACTTCTGTGATGACATCGAGTTTATGTGCAATCGTCGTGTTTCATGGTATTGGCGGGCGTGCTGGTCCGTCTTTACGCCGGTCATGATGATCATTATATTCATATACTCGATGGCCACCATCGAGCCAATTAAATACAGTGAACTATATTTTCCTGAAGCCGCCAATGGTAAGTTGGTATGTGGAAATAGTAATTGAATTGGAAGTAATTATTTTTATTTCAGTTGCTGGCTGGTTGTTGTTCGCCATTGGAGCTGCCCAGTTTCCATTATGGGGTCTTTGGTATATTTCTCGGCATCAACAAGGCACCTTATGGCAGGTAAGAAAATAATTTTTTAGAAGCTATTTCAGAAGCCTTTTAAAACTGCATTTGAAACAGTTTTGGTTTTCCTTTTTGTCAAAATAGCTAAAAACTAATAAATGTTATGAATTTACAGTCATTTAAAGCTTCACTGAAGCCCAGCGATCGATGGGGTCCCGCGAATCCAGATATTAGACGTGAATGGGTGATCTTTAAGAACCAGAAGGCGGCCGAAAGATCAGCCCGGCAAGAGACCACGAAACTTGGACTCTTCTGGCGGAAACTCACAAATTTCTGCGGCAGCAACAAATAAACAAAGTTAAAGTCTATATAGAGCGGGGAGCAGAGGTGGGGATATCGTGGGGATATCAGAGATTACGATTAACCATAACCACTTTTTATTTATATACGCCATTGTCAGCCTCTATGAAGCCATTATATATGCGAAGCAATCCTTCGACCGAATATATCGCATCTACCAATAATTAAATACCTTCCTTTTTTTTGTTATTCTATGTACAAACTTCATTTGAAAATGTGATAATAATTGAGCAGTAAAAAATAAATTATTGTTATCGAAAAATTGTTTATTGATTTATTGTTTCTTAGTCAGTATTAAGTCCACTTCAGCGCTAAAACTGTCCAGTAACAAGGGTGCTAAGTCTTGGTCGTTAACAGAACAACCTGTCAACCGACGTATACGTGATTTTGGATGCAAAAATATCGGTTCTCTGGCCATAGAACGGCCAAAAATGGTCCAAATGAGGAATGTAATACCTTGTAGGGCTCGTAACTTGATTGCTATGATTCCCAGTTGGTTTGCATTCAAATCTGGGAAACTTCATTTTTGGCCCATTTTTAAAAATTTTTATGATGGTACCCCTTATCAAAAATGCGAAATTTGGGCCAAAATTGACTTTCCCAAAATCGAAAATCGAGTGATAGGGGTAGTTAGTATTGGTCATTAGCAACACAAAACATTCGTTCTTTTGGCTGTGCGTCTTGTTTTGACCGAGCTAGAGCTAAAAACCCGCAACCAATATTGAATGTTGATTTTTTAGCCATTAATTCAGCAGTCGCAGCAAAAGAGCAGTACACTAATGTAAAAAGTGGGTATAGGGGCTGAAAGTGTTGGCCGTAAGCTGCATAAAACAGTCACTGTTTTAGCTATGCGGCTTGTTTTGAGAAAGTTAGAGCTAAGCAACGGCAACAAGGCCGTGCTCTGCTGTCAAAAGACGTAGCATAACTTTGGGCACAATAATAAAACCAGTTCTTTGGCCATAGCACGGCCAAAAATGGTCCAAATGAGGAAGGTAATACCTCGTAGGGCTCGTAACTTGATTGCTATGATTCCCAGTTGGTTTGCATTCAAATCTGGGAAACTTCATTTTTGGGCCATTTTTGAAAATTTTGATGATGGTACCCCTTATCAAAAATGCGAAATTTGGGCCAAAATTGACTTTCCCAAAATCGAAAATCGAGTGATAGGGGTTGTTAGTATTGGTCGTTAGCGGCACGAAACAGTCGTTCTTTTGGCTGTGCGTCTTGTTTTGACCGAGCTAGAGCTAAAAACCCGCAACCAATATTGAATTTTGATTTTTTAGCCATTAATTCAGCACTCGCAGCAAAAGAGCAGAGCTAAAAACCCGCAACCAATATTGAATTTTGATTTTTTAGCCATTAATTCAGCACTCAAAGAGCAGAAAAGCATACACTAATGTAAAAAGTGGGTATAGGGGCTGAAAGTGTTGGCCGTAAGCTGCATAAAACAGTCACTGTTTTAGCTATGCGGCTTGTTTTGAGAAAGTTAGAGCTAAGCAACGGCAACAAGGCCGTGCTCTCTGCTGTCAACCGACGTATACGTGATTTTGGATGCAAAAATATCGGTTTTTTTGTCATAGCACAGCCAGAAATGGTCCAAATGAGGAATGTAATACCTCGAAGGGCTCGTAGCTTGATTGCTATGATTCCCAGTTGGTTTGCATTCAAATCTGGGAAACTTCATTTTTGGGCCATTTTTGAAAATTTTGATGATGGTACCCCTTATCAAAAATGCGAAATTTGGGCCAAAATTGACTTTCCCAAAATCAAAAATCGAGTGATAGGGGTAGTTAATATTGGTCATTAGCAACACAAAACATTCGTTCTTTTGGCTGTGCGTCTTGTTTTGACCGAGCTAGAGCTAAAAACCCGCAACCAATATTGAATGTTGATTTTTTAGCCATTAATTCAGCAGTCGCAGCAAAAGAGCAGAGCTAAAAACCCGCAACCAATATTGAATTTTGATTTTTTAGCCATTAATTCAGCAGTCGCAGCAAAAGAGCAGTACACTAATGTAAAAAGTGGGTATAGGGGCTGAAAGTGTTGGCCGTAAGCTGCATAAAACAGTCACTGTTTTAGCTATGCGGCTTGTTTTGAGAAAGTTAGAGCTAAGCAACGGCAACAAGGCCGTGCTCTGCTGTCAAAAGACGTAGCATAACTTTGGGCACAATAAAAAAACCAGTTCTTTGGCCATAGCACGGCCAAAAATGGTCCAAATGAGGAAGGTAATACCTCGTAGGGCTCGTAACTTGATTGCTATGATTCCCAGTTGGTTTGCATTCAAATCTGGGAAACTTCATTTTTGGGCCATTTTTGAAAATTTTGATGATGGTACCCCTTATCAAAAATGCGAAATTTGGGCCAAAATTGACTTTCCCAAAATCGAAAATCGAGTGATAGGGGTAGTTAATATTGGTCATTAGCAACACAAAACATTCGTTTTTTTGGCTGTGCGTCTTGTTTTGACCGAGCTAGAGCTAAAAACCCGCAACCAATATTGAATTTTGATTTTTTAGCCATTAATTCAGCAGTCGCAGCAAAAGAGCAGAGCTAAAAACCCGCAACCAATATTGAATTTTGATTTTTTAGCCATTAATTCAGCAGTCGCAGCAAAAGAGCAGTACACTAATGTAAAAAGTGGGTATAGGGGCTGAAAGTGTTGGCCGTAAGCTGCATAAAACAGTCACTGTTTTAGCTATGCGGCTTGTTTTGAGAAAGTTAGAGCTAAGCAACGGCAACAAGGCCGTGCTCTGCTGTCAAAAGACGTAGCATAACTTTGGGCACAATAAAAAAACCAGTTCTTTGGCCATAGCACGGCCAAAAATGGTCCAAATGAGGAAGGTAATACCTCGTAGGGCTCGTAACTTGATTGCTATGATTCCCAGTTGGTTTGCATTCAAATCTGGGAAACTTCATTTTTGGGCCATTTTTGAAAATTTTGATGATGGTACCCCTTATCAAAAATGCGAAATTTGGGCCAAAATTGACTTTCCCAAAATCGAAAATCGAGTGATAGGGGTTGTTAGTATTGGTCGTTAGCGGCACAAAACATTCGTTCTTTTGGCTGTGCGTCTTGTTTTGACCGAGCTAGAGCTAAAAACCCGCAACCAATATTGAATTTTGATTTTTTAGCCATTAATTCAGCACTCGCAGCAAAAGAGCAGTACACTAATGTAAAAAGTGGGTATAGGGGCTGAAAGTGTTGGCCGTAAGCTGCATAAAACAGTCACTGTTTTAGCTATGCGGCTTGTTTTGAGAAAGTTAGAGCTAAGCAACGGCAACAAGGCCGTGCTCTCTGCTGTCAACCGACGTATACGTGATTTTGGATGCAAAAATATCGGTTTTTTTGTCATAGCACAGCCAGAAATGGTCCAAATGAGGAATGTAATACCTCGAAGGGCTCGTAACTTGATTGCTATGATTCCCAGTTGGTTTGCATTCAAATCTGGGAAACTTCATTTTTGGGCCATTTTTGAAAATTTTGATGATGGTACCCCTTATCAAAAATGCGAAATTTGGGCCAAAATTGACTTTCCCAAAATCGAAAATCGAGTGATAGGGGTTGTTAGTATTGGTCGTTATCGGCACGAAACAGTCGTTCTTTTGGCTGTGCGTCTTGTTTTGACCGAGCTAGAGCTAAAAACCGAAACCAATATTGAATTTTGATTTTTTAGCCATTAATTCAGCACTCGCAGCAAAAGAGCAGTACACTAATGTAAAAAGTGGGTATAGGGGCTGAAAGTGTTGGCCGTAAGCTGCATAAAACAGTCACTGTTTTAGCTATGCGGCTTGTTTTGAGAAAGTTAGAGCTAAGCAACGGCAACAAGGCCGTGCTCTCTGCTGTCAAACGACGTATACGTGATTTTGGATGCAAAAATAAAACAGTTCTTTGGCCATAGCACGGCCAAAAATGGTCCAAATGAGGAAGGTAATACCTCGTAGGGCTCGTAACTTGATTGCTATGATTCCCAGTTGGTTTGCATTCAAATCTGGGAAACTTCATTTTTGGGCCATTTTTGAAAATTTTGATGATGGTACCCCTTATCAAAAATGCGAAATTTGGGCCAAAATTGACTTTCCCAAAATCGAAAATCGAGTGATAGGGGTAGTTAGTATTGGTCATTAGCAACACAAAACATTCGTTCTTTTGGCTGTGCGTCTTGTTTTGACCGAGCTAGAGCTAAAAACCCGCAACCAATATTGAATTTTGATTTTTTAGCCATTAATTCAGCACTCGCAGCAAAAGAGCAGTACACTAATGTAAAAAGTGGGTATAGGGGCTGAAAGTGTTGGCCGTAAGCTGCATAAAACAGTCACTGTTTTAGCTATGCGGCTTGTTTTGAGAAAGTTAGAGCTAAGCAACGGCAACAAGGCCGTGCTCTGCTGTCAAACGACGTATACGTGATTTTGGGCACAATAAAAATATCGGTTTTTTGGCCATAGCACGGCCAAAAATGGTCCAAATGAGGAAGGTAATACCTCGTAGGGCTCGTAACTTGATTGCTATGATTCCCAGTTGGTTTGCATTCAAATCTGGGAAACTTCATTTTTGGGCCATTTTTGAAAATTTTGATGATGGTACCCCTTATCAAAAATGCGAAATTTGGGCCAAAATTGACTTTCCCAAAATCGAAAATCGAGTGATAGGGGTTGTTAGTATTGGTCGTTAGCGGCACGAAAACAGTCGTTCTTTTGGCTGTGCGTCTTGTTTTGACCGAGCTAGAGCTAAAAACCCGCAACCAATATTGAATTTTGATTTTTTAGCCATTAATTCAGCACTCGCAGCAAAAGAGCAGTACACTAATGTAAAAAGTGGGTATAGGGGCTGAAAGTGTTGGCCGTAAGCTGCATAAAACAGTCACTGTTTTAGCTATGCGGCTTGTTTTGAGAAAGTTAGAGCTAAGCAACGGCAACAAGGCCGTGCTCTCTGCTGTCAACCGACGTATACGTGATTTTGGATGCAAAAATATCGGTTTTTTTGTCATAGCACAGCCAGAAATGGTCCAAATGAGGAAGGTAATACCTCGTAGGGCTCGTAACTTGATTGCTATGATTCCCAGTTGGTTTGCATTCAAATCTGGGAAACTTCATTTTTGGGCCATTTTTGAAAATTTTGATGATGGTACCCCTTATCAAAAATGCGAAATTTGGGCCAAAATTGACTTTCCCAAAATCGAAAATCGAGTGATAGGGGTTGTTAGTATTGGTCGTTATCGGCACGAAACAGTCGTTCTTTTGGCTGTGCGTCTTGTTTTGACCGAG